TGTTGTCCTTTAGCTAGTCTAACCACTCGGCTGATGCTTATAAAGCATTGTTTGATAGAACGAAGTGCACCACATGACCACAGCTAAGCACAATCGCGAAGTGAGCTGACGACGCACTACGTAGTATTGTTACAGATGAAGCCAATTTAGACATTCTCCACTTCAGTCTCCAGAATAAATGAAAGGTAAGGTAAAATAGATGTATGAATGTATTCCTTTAAACCAAGCTATTCTCAAAATGCAATAGGCGATTGGAAACGGTACCAGGTACAGCTGAAACCTACTCTGGACTAGTCTTTTCAATACGACGAGCTATGTCGCCAAGACGTTTAAGCGCTACTTCTGCTCCTTGCCTGAACGCTCGGACAATTGCAGTAGGGTGTACGCCCTCCTCTATATAGGGTTTGACCTTGGAGAGAAACTCAGCTGCTAAGAGAGTGACGCTAGTGGTGCCATCCCCCACCTCAGCATCTTGGGATCGGGCGATATCAACAAGTAAGCGTGCGGCAGGGTGCACAACATCTAACAGTTTCAGTATTGTAGCACCGTCGTTGGAAATCGTTGACTTTCCATTATCAATTATAAGTTTATCCATTCCCCTGGGGCCTAATGTTGTGCGGACTGAATCAGCAACTGAACGACATGCTTGAATATTGCCAATTACTTGCGGAGTTCCCTGGGAAGAATCTGTTCCTTCTTTTAAAAGCAGAATACGACCTGGCTGTAACGAGAAATTGGGAGGAAGGAAAGGAGCTTACAAACATGGTTACCGCGAGCGTGAAATAGAATAAAACGAAGGTTTCGCGAACAGTGCAGACGAAAAAACAACAAGAGCAAAGAAGGGACGCGGACTTAAATTTTATTTAATGGCGAAATATTATAGCAATATATATGTGTCATCTACTAATTTATTTATTATAGCTTTAAAAGCAGATCGGGATTGATTAATACAATATATATATATATATATATATCAGTATTTGAGCTTAAATATATGGATATATTTGGTTTATATAAGCTTATAAAGAGCTAATGTGGAGCCCTTTTTCATTTTTT